CTTATTTTTTCACTGAATTTATGTTTTGACTGATTTGACCAATTAATTCAGTAAAGAATTTGATTCAATATAATCATATGGCCACAGCCTCAAGTGAATTGAATTTGTTGGGAATCAGCTATGATGGTGTGGTTATTTGGAATCTTTTAGATGATACATTACCACAGAATTCACATTACTTAATTTCATCTTATACATTCGCTAATCTGGATATTAAATAAAAATGCTGATCGTTTTGGATTGACTTAACCAATTCATTTAGTTAAAAAAAAAGATTTCTCAAGCTCCTGTAGCTGCAGCTTAAAAGAGGTTGAATTTGTGGGGGACCAACTAGGGTTGTAAGTGTAATATAGATTAGAACTGACTACAGGAGTACACATCACTTAATTCCGTCCTGCACATTTACTAACCAACTGAATGTCAAGTCAAAATGCTGACCGTTGGAGTGAGATTAATGTTGTCTCATCCCTTTGATTTCATCTTGGGACCTCTGAAGGCATGTAGGTAGCTATTGGCTTTGTACACTACCGGCTATGTATTATTAACCTCTTTAAAAATTAATGAGCATGTCCGTCCACTTAGTGCTTTGGTCATACTGACCCATCGGATGAATCATGAGTGAGGCAGCACTCAGCCTCCATCAACTTCCTGTCAACATTTTCCATTAGAGGCATGAAATGGTAGGTTAGAAAAAGGTCCTGCACCCCAGGAGTTCTGCATATGGCCATGGACTGGTTTTTCACAAGCCCCTTTCACTAGCTGGGCAGAGCAAACCTTTCTGGGATGTCTCTGTAGTCAGAATTCAACAACCATGTGTCTCCCAGGGCTTCCATGTAAAACATAAAACAGTTATCAACTAGAAAACCAGGCAATTTTATGTGTATGAGCTACTTACTCCACCGTAGAAGAATTATTTATTAGGATATTTATTTGTAACACACAAAGAAATGGTATCATTAGAAAATGGAGAGCGTAAGAAAGGTATTTTTATTTTTCCCTTTTGATTGTTTTATTTAAAAAGGAATTTTAGCTGAAGATTATGTTTTAAAAAATAGCTTATAGTGGTCAAAATGGTCAGAAGGGAACTAGTATTTAGTATGTGCCTATTGGATGCAAGGCTTTGTCTGTGCACAATCTCTCTAATCCTTACAACAACCCCTCAAGATAGAATCAGTCCCAATCCATAGATAGGGTAACAAGTTCAGAGAGATTAAGCAACCTGCTCAAGACTGCACAGTATGAAATCATAGAAGGGATTTGAATCCTAGCCAGTCTACCCCAACATCCCATGAGCTATTCACTGCATTGTCAGGGTGACTCAGAATCCTGGTTTGCCAAGAACTAAGGGATCTCCTGGAACCTGGGACTCAGTTTTAAGACCAACCCTGGAGAACCATGACAAGCTAGCTATTCTACTTGATAACCAGAGGCTAGTGCTCCCATAGGCAGCTAGATTCCAGGCCTCAGGTCTGCCCTGCTGGGAAGGGCACTTATTTCAGAAAATAACATATCCAACCATATCACACTCCCACTGGAAAAGGCATGTTAATGACACTTCTAGCCAAATTACTATATCCTCAGGTCATGTAGGTCAAGGATCAGCACACTTTTTCTCTGAAGGGCCATGTTTGATATTGTGGGTCACTGGGTCTCTGTCACAACTACTGTCATTGTAGTGGGAAGCAACGGCATGAATAGGTATGACTATGTTCCAAGAAAAATTTATTTACCCAAACTGTAAGTTGTCTGGATTTGGCCCATGGATACTTTGCTAAAACCTGATGTAGGTAAATAAAGAATCCTTTGTATAGATTTGAAAGAGAATTATTTCTTAAAATTACTTTAATTGGAATAGAGCCAGTGACAGTTGGGAGCTGTCTGTTGGACCAACCTCTTCACCAGTTAGCCATATCTATTCTTTTCTAATATTTGGGGGCTATGGAATTTGACTTTTCTAACCCTAGACAAAATCACATTGTGGGTGTATGAAGGCAGCTGAATGACATCTCCCATCACAAATTTATATCCCCTTTCTTGGTTGTGGGGAGATATTAGTCACACTCATTTCTCCCTGGTCTTTCCAACTACTTCTTTTATTTCCAAATGCCATTTAAGAAGTAATTCTTATTGCACTCTACATAAACTGAAGAAATACTCATTTGCTTTAATATAGCATCTTGTTTATCTATCTATTTATTTATTTATTTAGATTTTATTTTTAGAGAGAGGGGAAGGGAGGGAAAAAGAGAGGGAGAGAAACATCAATGGCTGCCTTGAGCATGCGCCATGACGGGACCAAACCCACGGCCCACACAACCTAGGTATGTGCCCTGACCAGAAATTGAATGCGACCTTTCATTTCACAGACAACACCCAACCAGCTGAGCCATGCTGGCCATGGCATCTTCTTTATTGTGTGCTGAGAACACCTATTAGATTTATCTATACTGAAACACAAATACTCATTTACCACTAGAGCAGCCTCTGCCATCCCAGCATGCATTCATTCATTGGTATCCTCCCTCCTGCACTCTGGGTGCTTTCTGAGCATTTGCTTTTTGAGGTGAAGGAGTGGGACCACTCCAGACTCTGCCCCATCACAGAGATGCTCCCAAGTGGAGGAGCCCACACAGCTTCTCAGATCCTCAAGTGCAAAAGGAACACAGGTGTGACTTGAGGACCCACAGGGGAGGAATGCAAATTTGGGGGGAGAGAACAAATGGGAAGGATTGGGCTCAGGAATAAAGCAAGCACAGGAGGGGACAATGAATAGATTAACTCAGGAATGAAAGACGCTCAGCCAGAAAGGGCCAGTGTTCAAAATAATTTCATAGGAATCAGGAAGGTGTTGGGAGCATCACTAATTCCAGAAAAATTGGGAAGAGGTGATGCTCATTTAAAAAGATGATTTCAGCCCTGTCTGGTGTGGCTCAGTGGATTGAGCACCAGCCTGTGAACCAAAGGATCACTGGTTTGATTCCCAGTCAGGGCACATGACTGGGTTGTGGGCCAGGTCCCCAGTTGGGGGTGTATAAGAGGCAACCAGTCGATGTGTCTCACACATTGATGTTTCTCTCCCTCTCTTTCCATCTCTCTAAAAATAAATAAAATCTTTAAAATATATATTTAACAAATTTCAAGATTCAGCTTGAAAAACTTCAGATATTTTCATGCTCCTTGAATAAAGGTGTTCTCTGAGCCAACTCAGGTAAGAGATTAGGACTGTGTTTTATGTAGAACTCTCTATACAGATGGTAACTGAACCAGGCAAGGAGTTTTCAGTGTTTTTTTTTTTTTTTTAACTTTCACTTTCTTAATGGTCTCTGCCTAAATTAATGTGTGTCTGAAGAGCAACGTTGGAACTAGTGTCTCCTCTGACTTACTCTGGCTGCTCAGTGCACAAACCTGCAGATGACATCTATACTGGACACTTCTCCACTAATTTTAACTTCCCCAAATTATGGCTTTTGAGGTAACCTGTGAGTGGCCTGAATTACCAGCTCTGGCTAGGTTGGGTTCTGACAGCTGGTTTTCATTGCTGGGTCCTGCCTGTCTTGCCCACGCCATACCAGTCACTGAATTGGTGATTGGTAAACTTGCACTTGACTTAGGAGAACTAAATCAAACTGCTTATGACCCTAAAGGAGAATAATTTAAAGAAGTTATTACAACATTTAGGAATACATAAACACATACTTAGATAAATATTTAGATGATGCATGCACTAAGCAAGGCATTATTTTGGTTTGATAATAAAATCAGAATCAACTATTCGCCTGAAAAAATGCTGTAATTGTTTATCAATTTAACCCACTGACTACAATTTTCCAACCTTATCCTTGTAAGAAAGGCATAAATGTTGAAGATTACAGTGATCACCAGTATAGAGAATACAGCAATAAATAATTTAGTTTCTTTATGCTTCAGTTCCTTACCTGAATTACTTATGAAACAGCAACAAACACTGGTGCTATTGGGAAGTTGACATTATTACCTATTTCTTATTTAACAACAGAATCATTTAAAAAGAGAGATAAGGGACACTGGCAGGGAGAAACTCATTGTTGTATTAAATACAGATGCTGTATAGGAGGAGGCTACATGTTTGGTTTAGCTAAAGGATATTCAAAAGCCACTAAGCAAGAGAATGATTTCTGTTGAGGCCCAAATCAACACTTTTTATTTCTGTTTTCCATAGACAAGCATATGAGTTGAACACAGCTTATTTTATATTTGTACATTTGGGGAAAACATGTAGACTTAGAATCATCATACTATGACACATCCCTTATGCTCTGAATGTTTCCTTACTGCTTTGGGAATGCAGCATGAGCAAAGAATATACTAATTAGTGACCTGGTGACATTCCAGTAAAGTGCTATCCACGGTCTGAGATAGTCCACACAGGAAGAGCCATTCCGGAATCTTCAGTTATGTGAAAATCTATTGTATAACCTGTGCCCAAATGTCATAACTTACCAAATTGAACCCTCATTGCCAGGGAATTTTCCTGTAGACTTACAGAGATTATCTTCCGGATCTCACCAGAGATGGGAGCGTCTTTCACTCTCCATAAATGCCAAGGTTTTTCCTCTTTCTCCAGGAGAGGAGAGTGTTCTGAGGCAGTACTCCTACCCCTCAGACATAAACATGTGAAATGTATGCATTTCCAGAGAGGCCTTCGCCAAAAGTTCAGGCATCTTGAGAGCCCTTTTTATGAAATATTATTTTTCTACACTCTGCAGTTGCACCTTTCAGACAAGATGTTTACAATAAACTTTGTAAACCTCCACATTTTTAGAAAAATACTTTATTTATTTTTAGAGAGGGGAAGGGAGGGAGAAACAGAGGGAGAGAAACACTGATATGTGGGAGACACACCAATCAGTTGCCTCTTGAACGTCCCCAACCAGGAATCTGGCCTGCAATCCAGGCAAGTGCTCTGACTGGGAATTGAACCAGCAACCTTTAGGTTCACAGGCCAGCACTCAATCTACTGAGCCGCACCAGTCAGGGCTATAAACTGCACATTTTGAGAAATCAGTTGTAGGTGTTATGACTGCAAATAGAAGAAATTAATGAAAAGAAGTTACTGATAATGTAAATAAAGTCTTCAACCAGTACTTGGCACATAGCATGTACTCAATAAATATTATAAATGGTAGATACTGTTTTATTATTTGGGAGTATACATATTTAATGACAAATGGTAGTATGTATATACATACTCATAAATATATGCACATATTTATGTATATAATGGGTATATACAATATAAACAGAGAAGTGTCCGACTTTTCTAATTGCCAAAAATAATCTTTGCCCATGAATTAGTTCATTGCTGTTTACTGTTATTTGTTCTCCCGTTAAGAAAGTTGGAAAGGTGAGAACTACTAGAGGTGTGAAATGGCTCATCTATTTTAGTTAATTATTAACCCAGAAGCCTCACCATAATTATTTTAAGCATAGCATTAAAGCAACTTTGGTAACTGATAAAACACCTAATCAATGAATTAAAATTACAAAACATACTGCATGATGTCACCTTTATCACAGAATAGAAGGTGAGAATAAGCAGGGACTTCATATGGCCTCTAATACAATGCCTTCAAAAGTGCAGAAAGTGGGGCCCAAAGAGGTAAGGTGACTGGGTCAGAGCACACAGTTAAGTATCAGAGAGGTCATTCTGAGGCTGGACTTTTGCCCCCACATCCAGGCTGTGTCCTGTCTCCTTGTCTGTGCTTTTTCCCCTTCTAAAAAAAACAAGTATGATTACACTGAGTCTGCATGAAGCCATTACAGTCGGAGTTGCCTCCTTGGCCTCTTGTGGGTGATGACCTTGTAAGCCTCTCAAATGCAGTGAAGAGGGATTATGATTCTAAGATGATTGAACTAGTTTCCCCTTACCCTCACCTTTTCTGCTCTGCTGTTGTAGACACCCACAAAAAAAGAAAAGAAAGAAAAAAGGGTGCCCAGCAATATCACCTCATTTTTTAATAAAAAAGGGCATTATTTTACTTTTGCTTTCCAAGTGTATTTTTAAAGTCTTTGAAATAGGTCACGGGAATCTTTGTTATATCCAGACATAGCATTTTTAGCAAGAACTGGTTATTGGTAAGTTCAAGAAATCACTTCTCTCTAATTCAGCTGTTTGGAATGGATAGTCCAATTGGGTGAATTAGCCTAAAACCCTACCTGCAGAACCTAAAATGGGGTAAGGGCTGCAGAACCAAAGGCAGAATTTGGGTCTCCTTTTTGTTTGCATTTCCAGCAGTAAATATGGGCTTGGGACATTGTAGGTGCTCTGTAAAGTTTGTTGGCAAATTAATGAAAGAAGCAGCAAACGGAATTTCTGATTCTTCAAACCGTCCATGGGAACAGAAGAATATGTTGATCTAGCAGCGGGCGTTTTTGCTTTCTCAAACTGTGTACCCTAAACATGATGAACTGGGCCGTTTCAGTGGCCAGAAAACCAACCAACCAGCCAAACAAAAACCCAAACACCTTTTCAAACTTTCCATTCACTTCTAGTGGCCACTGCGAAGCCTATTTCCATGTCTAAAGGGGCATCTTTTGAACTTGAGTGGGTGACCCAGGAGTGCACCTCTCCTTCCTATGGAAGGCTATGCTGTTCAGAGATGCCAACATACATCATTTGCTCACTGCACGGCCAGCTGACCAGCTGCTTGTGGCACCTCACCTCTTTTGGGCACACCTATGCCAAGGCCCATTACCAAGTTTCTTGCCATGGTGGGGTTGTGTGTTGTGTGGTATTTCTCATCAAGAAAAAAATTAACACTTGAGTTTGCTTGATGACATTTTAGAAAATTTCGTCCTTTATGAAGGAAGGCCTTGCCTCCCTGTCATTAGAATCCCGGCCAGCCTGACTTTGGATTAAATTTGTCCATCAAGTGGTAGAAGATGCTTCAGTGTATGCTGTCGAAAACATGGCTCCTCAGACAGCCGTGCGCTGCCAAGCTATGCTATGCCTGTGGCCTCATGGTAGGGAAAGTCAGAGCAGCAGAGTGTGCATGTCAGTGCTGCCCAGAGACCGTGCAGGGCATGAATGTGTGTATTTCAAGGAAGGAGCAACAGTTGAGAATGGACAACAGACACAGCCAAGGGCACACTCCCAAAGCCTGTGATTGCACCAGTAACCAAAGCTTTCTTGAAGAAAGCTCAGTCCCGCTCACTTTTAGAGTCTAAAATCACATCTGAAGATGTGTTTTTGGGGTGGGGGCACTAAGGAGCCTTTAATGTCAGTATCAGCATAAAACTTTATGTGACCACATTTCTTCTTCCCACAGACATCAGAAAGGAATAGGACCTGCCTTGTAGGGCTAAAAAGGACACTCTACTTCCTTTCATAAAACCTTCCACGATATCCTTCCACCTTTGGTTTTGAATTACAGAAAGACAGATATTTTTGTCTCTGAGCCAAGAAGACTGCATGCCATGTGTCTTTTATACGACAGCTACATTTCATAGAAGAGATGTTTTTACCTGATTTTTTTTCCTGTGGCATTTAAAAACCCTGCAGTGGACTTTGCCACATTTATTTATTTATTTTTCTGTCCCCAAGGCACCACTGTGAGTTGGTGAGAGGAAAAAATACTAACTTCACACAAGCCTGAAGAGAGGTCAGCAACATGTCCAGAATCATATGGTGACTGGTGACTCAGAAGACCTGCTTGGGCGGTTTCTTAATCAGCTGGAAGGTTGGCTATTTAAACAGCAGGAGATGTTTATTCATTTTGGAAGTGTCTCACATTGTGTTTCTAAACGGCTAACGTTTAGATTAAGGGGCAATCACTTAGATTTTACTCACTACCCCAACTCAACCAAGTAAAAATAAAAATATATTCAAGTTTGTAGAAAATTTATCTCATGATAAATCAATAGTTGGTTATTATTAAGCTAGAAAAATCTATTTGAAAGATACCTCAAGCTTTTCAAGTTGATTTCATGGAGTGGGTCTCTGCCCTCATGACCATCCCCCCCCACCCCCCACCCCCCCCCCACCCCCCCCCCCCGCCCGCCAGCACAGCCACTGTGAGAGGAAAGCTGCAGGGTATCAAGACCAACACCAAAGCCCACTGGAAAGCTTTAAAATTTTCTTGTTTGGGTGAAAGCTGACTTTTCAAATACCTGGGTGACACTTTTTCAGTCTTTATCATGATGCTTGTACTGTGGACAAAGTGTCAGAGAATTGAGGTTCTATTAATGAACTCATGGCAACTACTGATTCTAAATCAAAAGTTTGCTCTTTTTATGTTCAGCTGTGGTTGAAATTCATATTTCCTTTGTATCGATAAAATAATCTTTCCCTTCCTTTACCCTTTGCAGGTTAAACAATTCTAGTTCCCTTAACTATCTGATCTGTTTCTAGCTCCCTCTCTGGCTAGTTGTGTGATTACTCTCTGAGCCTGCTGAGTTTCCTGACTGCGTTCTACCTGCACCCGCCAGCCCTCACCTTCCAAAACAAAACAACAAAACTCACATATTCCCCCACCTAACAAGAGTGGCTCACCTTCCCCAGTCAGCACGTGTCATTTACGTCATATGTATTAGTACCTGTAGTCATTTGTGGGATTCTGTGGCCACTTTATTGAAAAAGTTAAATTCTAGATAGTCAAAAGTTTAATAAATTGACCAGAAAAGTCTTACCTACCATCCCCCCAATGAAATAAAAACATATCTATCATGAAGACATTGGTGGTGACCATGATTAGAGAAGAAACCTCTGGAATTCTTGGCAACATGGTGATTTAATGCTGCTCACTGAGATACATGGGTTTCCTTGAAACGGCAGTTATCATAAGAGCTGGTCATGCTAGGTGTACAAAAGGGAACTTAAGAAGGAGACTTTCTTTACAAGTTGAAAGTAAAAGAGGGTAGGCTGATAACAATTACTGTAGATTTTAGCTATGAAAAATTAAAGACACTGGTCCCATTTATTTAAAAGCATAAACTTAAGCTTTTTAAGCATATTTAAAGTTCTTATTTTTTAAAAAATGTGTTCAAACACAGCTTTTAACAGTGTGATTTCTAAAATAATATAAAAGCAGAAGAGTGACCAAATCTGGATGTATCTGTACTACAAGAGGAACTGTGTCACCAGTTACTAAAGGGAAGTGCAGAAGTCCCATTGTGCCTGTTAAAGATCTTACTGGAGAGGTATTGGGACGGGGCATGAAAATGTTACCAATGAAAAGGAAAACCTAGGCATGATAAAAGATCCTGCAAAAACTAGAGCTGAAGAAGCTGCTTCTTTTTGGCTTGTAAAATCTGCTTTTGTTTGTTTCCTTTACTGATGCCATCTGAGCCCCTTGCATCTCCCCTCCTATGTCTCCACCTTGAGCCTAAAGTCAAGACACCCAAGTTATGGGGTATGTTCCAGGTATTTCTATCACTAAGTCAGTTCGGTGGGGGGAAACATAAATGAAAACAAAAGTGGATTTCTTACAATTATTACTGTGGCTTTGCATAGGCCCAGGTTCAAAATTTTCACCCTTATGCCACCTCCCATCTTAACCCCCTAGGGAAGAAAAAGAAGTAGAAAGGAATGGAGCATATGATTTCTTTTTTTTCAGGTTCTCTGAGTAACCATGGGTTCTGCACTGTGTGTTAACATCATGAGGTCTCAATTCTTATCCTATAAGAATAGCCAGCTCTTATAGTTTTAAAATTCCAGCTGCTCTTATGGGTAGGCCCATCAATTCAATGGCCACTTTCAAAGGTGGTCCATGTACACATTCCCCAGTTAAGTTCCGATGCATCAGTTTAAACTTCTACTAAGCACAGCATCTTGCCCACTTATTAGCATGAGTGTCCATGGTCCAACCACATTTAATTCTACTTGTATATTTACCAGCTGTCTGATTAAAAACTGGTATGTCTTCTACAAAGTGCATCACAGGACAAAGTGAAATCCTTGGTGTTTTGTTTCCCAAAGACTTTCCATTAACCCAGTTCATTTTTCTTAACAGGAAGTCAAATGGACTTGGGAAATGATAAAAAGTATGCAATTAGGAGCCAAAGATGACAGCAGGTAGAGGTCAAATATACAAATATACCCATGCAGTAATAGAAAGAATACATTTTGAGGCATTTTCACAAAAAGTTACCTTTTTAAAGAAGAAATTAAATTATATTTCTTTACCTGAATTTTCAGATGTAATCCATTTTGTAGAATATTTGGAATACTGAAATCCCCTCTCATTTTTATTATCAAATTAGACTTCTAATATTTCTCTAGAATGAGTATTGCATCCAGAAAAATACAAAGAGCTCAATAATGCAACAAAATATACCTAAAAAAGCACATATTTAAGGATAAGATTATCTTTTACTTATAAATTATTTAAAGTACTACTCAAAGTAACTTATGGACTATGAATGCAAAGTAGTCAGTTGTTTTATATTTGACATAACAGCTCAGAGGCTGAAAAAGAAAAGCAGTAGGATAACAGAACAAAACAAATGAGAGCAGAGTCACAACTTCTATCAAGCCTAATATTTTGTAAGAAGAGAATATATATACAAGTTGTGCTTTTAAAAGCCTGTTGTGGAAACTTAATGGCTTTTGGAAATGAGAGGTTAACCTTGGGTAAAGCCTAAAGGAGATACGGACGTTTTGTTTCCAAATTCATCTGCATAACAGCAGAGCACTCAGTCACAGATAGAATTGCCACTGAGTAAGGGTTATGCAGACCAGGGTTGGGAAAGAAGTACACCTGGCAGGGAACTGAGGTAGGAGTCAAAGCAAACAAGATTGCAGCAAATGGCAAATGTCAGGGCATAGATAATGATCGAATACACAGGAATTCAAAACAGGCTGTTTATGTGGCCTTTCTTCCCGGACTAGAATAGAAGTTCCACGTGGGCAGGGATTTTTAATTTGGTCACTGCCATACTCCCAGCTTCTGGAACAGTGCCTGGCTCACAGAAGTTGCTCCATAAATATCTGATGGGTGAAGGAACATAAACTGAGTTTCGAAAGACAAATCTGTCAAAAGAAATTAAATTCCACGACTATCAAATGAACACCTAAGCATGCTATGCCAAGTGCCTACGTGTAACATGGAAATAATTGTTCTATCAGACTGCAATGTGACACGAGAATTAAATGGTAAAATGTCAAGCTCCAGAGCCCCATTTAGGATTTCCTGAGTCAAAATCCTGGTGAGAAACCCAAAATGTGGCCTTTTAAACAAGTATCCAGGTAAGTCTACATATCAAAATTTGGATTCTACTGAAGGTTTTGTAGTTAAGAAAAAAGATACAATACAGAATTCTCTCTCAGGTACTCACATCAGTAAGTAAAATCTCAAGGATAAGGGAAGCTAATATTTAGGGTGATAATTGTGGGCCAGGGACTGTTGAAGATGCTTTCACACATAATAATTTAATATTCAGTAATGCGAGGAAGTAGATTTATTATATCTATTTTTAAGGAAACAAGTTCCAGGACAGTAATGAACTTGCCTAACCTTGCATAACAAGTACCTACAGAGAGTACAAGCCAGGTTTAAGTCCTGAGGCCACATGCTCCAGGACAGGGACATTCCATGGCACCTGTCTTCAGGAAACATAGATAGAGTCAGTTTTTGATTGGCTGAGTCTGTCAAGATGAATTTGTGGAAATTGAGATTTTAATTATGAGTGTTTAGGACTAGACCTAGAGTATATAAACCATCTATCACTTTAATAATAATTTTTTAAAAAGGAGAGCACTGGGTAATGTAGTTTGTTTAAGGCAGAACTAGAAAACTCAGGTGCACAGGGTGGGGAGGAGGGGATAACAGAGGAGGTACAGACTGTCACATCTAACATGGGCTCTGCCCTGGCAGGCCAGGCGCTCTGGTCTTCTCATGTTTCAAAGGAAGTCAAAAGTCCACCTTACTGTATGAAACACCCTGGTTTTTAAATACAGATAACTAATTCAAACATTTAAAAACACACCTTGAAGGCCTAACAGGTCTGGAAAACAAGGACAGGCCGATGGGCACCCAACTGCAACCTCTGGTCGGGATGATGCAAACCCCAGGAGTACAGCTGCACAGATTAACTGATATTGTTTAGTGAAAATGGTGCAGACCAGAGGTGTGTGTCTGCATCCTACACACACGAAGGCAGAGACTGACTGTCACTACTGCTGATTCAATTTGATAAAACACATCACATCGTCTTTTGATTTTCTACAGATGTATCAGATGTGGCCTGAAGGCCAAATTTGTGTAAACTGAACTGGGCCTTTCTAGTAACTTAGCATTGCAGGGTTGCCTCATTTGGGTTTCGATCTTCAGCTGGCATTGACCAATTAAAAATTTATGATTCTCAGTCCTTTCAGCTCCTTTTAAAGGTAAACGGTGTAAACTTTGGGGGAAGAACTTCAGTTTTAGGAAGCACCCCGTATTGCTTTATAATAAACGCATTTGGAAATTTCCTAACTGGGACTTCTTGCTATTAAACAAACAGTTCAGGTTGCTCTGTTTCCAAGCAGAACTTCTCTCACACACAAAAAGACCTGATATACTACATGATACGATAAACGTGCTAGAACTAGCCTGTGAGGTTATTTTTTAACATTACATGGTCTAAATAACTTTCCATTCTTTCAGTATTGGCACTGCTTTAGGGGACATTTTCATGTCTGTCACAGCAGGGCTAAAAAGACCACTCTCCCTCTGTGTCTTTATTTCTGCAACGTGTGTGCATTTACTTCATGTTATCCAGAGGGGCGATGTTAACCGACCAAAGCAGACGTCATCATTAAGTCAAGTTCCTACAAAGCACCGTCCCAAGTCTGACGTTGCTTAACACAGTACAGAAGCATCAGCACCGGTGTGAACGGACTGAAAAGGCACTTACAAGGATGGGCTGCCAGGATTCCTTGTTTCAAGCCCCGACCAAAAGCCTCCAGGAAGTGAAGTCGGAAGGTTCTAATCTCATTTTCACGGCTGTGTGTGTTTTTTATTGTAGTTTTCCACTGTAAGACGAAAGAGCATCAAAGGAGTCGGGTGGAGTTTTCAGAAGAAAAGCCGCCTCTCTCCTGGAAGCGTGGCGGCGCCGAGTACCCGGAACTGCGTCCCCCGCGCGCTGCCGCCCCGTCCCGGGGCAGAGCCCAGCCGGGCCGTGGCGACAGGCGGACGCTTTTTTTGGTGGGTTGTTTTAGGAACGCTCCTGGCGGTAGCTCCTGGGCTTTAAACTAGTCTACCTGCTCCTGAACTTCAAAGAAACTAAAGAACTTAAAGAAGTTGCTTATCACGTTCACAACCTCCCAAGAGTCTTCTTCTCTGCCCCTGAGCAGGGTTTGCAATCGCTACCAGGTCCTCCAGCAGCTGGGGGGCTCTGAGCCCTCCCTCTCCTTTTACTACTTACTCCCCCAACTTTCTCCGTACCCTCCAACGGCCTCCCTCCTTCCCCCACTTCACTCCTCCCCCAGTCTCCCATCTCTTCCTTCCTTCACTACCCCCCTCCTCTCCCTCCCATTTCCTCCCGCCCCGGCTTTCTCCTCCCCCACCTCCTCCTGCCTCCCTTCCCCCACTTCTCTCCCCCCTCCCACCTCCTCGTCTCCCATCTCCTCCTTCCCTCATTCTTCCCTCACTTCCTCGCCTTTCCCTCTCCTGGCGTCCCCGCTTTCTCCTTTCCCACCTCCCACCTCCTTTACTCCTCTTCTCCCGCCGCCTAGCTCCCCCGCCGGTCTCCTACTTCCTTCTTCCCTCACTTCTCCCCTCATCTTCTCTTCCTCCCTTCTCCTCCTGGCCCCACTGCTTCCTTTCCCTACTTAAGGCCCCTAACCCTCTCCCATCTCCCCTGACCCCCGGGGCTGCGGGGCTGCGGGGCTGCGGGCGGCTCCCTCTCTCGATGCTGTACACGGATTTGGGCTCTCTGTGGCTGCAAGGCCCTGGGTCAATTATTTAGATGAGAAAGTTTGCTGGCAGCCCCACTGGCTGCTACGCTGCAGCCGGGCCTCCTTACTCCTCTCCGGTCAGCCTGCGTTTGGGAGGCCATCCTTATGCAAGGGCTGGTGGCTCCCACCCAGGGTCGGCGGTCTCAGAGGGCACGAAAAGAACTGCGAGGGAGCCTGTGAAGGAGGGGGAAGGGAGGTTAGAGCGTCGTGCGGCGCAGGCGTAGGTTTGGGTGCGAGCAGGGGAGGTAGGTGTTAAGAAGTGATGAGTAGAGTTGTGGGGAAGGAAGTGTGTAGTATTTCTGTTGCCAGGTGTGATGACCACTTCAAATTCACTGGATCCAGCACTACAGCCTGAGAGCACAGTGCCTGCTTTCCCAGGGGACCGGCCCAATATGTAGTAGGTACCTGATTTAAAAAAAAAAAAAACACCTAACTTGTAAGCCGTTGTGCTAAGAACTTTGCCAAATTTGTTGCATTTAATCCTTGTAATGATCAGGAGAGCGTTTTATTCTCATTTTACACATGTGGACACTGAGGCATGGGCAACCTGAGAGACTTGGCAGTAACTGCACACTTCTTAGTGGTCCACCCAAGACTTAAACCTGCATCTGCCTGGCTCCAAAGCCCACATTGTAGTATTTGCTGATGTGAAATAAAATGGTTTACCTTTAGCACTGATGAAACTGACACCTTGTTTGGAAGATAGGCAGGTTAGGTTTTGTGAACCCAGAGAAAGGGTGGGGGAAGACACCTAAGAAAGGCTCCTTGTGGCTATCGGGGCTCAAATAAAAAAGCAGAAGGTAAGTCTGGCAGAGTGGTTCAGTTGGATGGAGTGTCCTCCCACACAACCAAAAGGCTGTGGGCTTGATTCCAGTCAGGAAACAATGGGTTAGCCAAAAAGTCAGTATAGTGTTTTTTGTTTTTGTTTTTTTGTATGCTGGCTCTAGTAATGCTTAGTTGTCTTTAACTTCATTCAAAACAATTTTGTTAGATTGTATTGTGACAGCATGCATTTAGAAAAACATCAAAATTGGTGAACTTTTGTGCAGCCATTTTAATATTGAAGATGGAAGAAGATATCCAACATTTTCAGTGTGTTATGCTTTATTATTTCAAGAAAGGTAAAAACAACTGAAATGCAAAAACTTTGTGCAGCCCTGGCTGGTGTGGCTCAGTGGATTGAGTACCAGCCTGTGGTGGACTGAAAGGTTGCAGGTTCAATTTCCAGTTGGGGCACATGCCTGGGTTGTGGGCTGGGTGCCCAGTTGGGGGTATGTGAGAGGCAACTCATCTATGTTTCTTTCCTCTTTCTCCTTCCTTTCTCCTCTCTATAAAAAATTAGAATGAATAAATAAAATCTACAAAAAAAAGTGCAGTGTGGAGAAGGTACTGTGACTGATCAAACATGTCAAAAGTAGTTTGTGAAGTTTCTTGGTACTATTGACATTTTGGCCAAATAATTCTTTGCCGTGGGGCTGGTTTATGCATTGGAAGATGATTAGCAGCACCTCTGGCCTCTACGGACTAGAAGTCAATAGTGGCAAATAGCTGACATAGTCAAAATATCCAAATCAATAAATTTGTTTGTTGTTTGTTGGATGTTTGTTGGTGAAAATGAAAAACGTATCTTTTATTTTACATGAAAAAAGTATATGAACTTTTTGGCCAACCCCGTACTAGGTTGCGGGTTTGATCCCCAGTTGGGGCATGTATAGGAGGCAACGGATGGATGTTTCTCACAGCAGTGTCTCTGTCTTTCCCTTTCTGTTCCCCACTTCCTTTCTAAAATCAGTGGCCATATCCCTAGGTGAGAATTTAAAAAAAAAAAAAAAAAAAAAAGAGCCTAGCAAACAACTCTACACAGGGGCCTCATATGCAAACTACACTTCACGGTCGCACTAAACAGCTTGCTTGTATTGTGTTTCTGCCTTCTAAACCAACCCTTATAAAGGAGTCCCTGGAGTCTTATTTCAACCAATGGGACCAAAGGCTTTCCTCATCCAATCAGAGCTGTGCAACACTAACCAATCAGGGCAGTACCATTTGGATCAGTCAAACTGCAAGGATTTGGAGTCTTCATTTGCAAGTAGACTTGGGTGGGTGACTCCTTTCCATATAAGGCAGCTTTCCTCTGGCTTAAAGAGAACACTTTCTAGTGAAGACAGAAAGTTGACACTCCCTTCCTGAGCTGAAATACCAATCAATATCTTGCTAGAGCATACCAAGACAGAGCAGAGCTGTCCAGCCAGAGAGGGGCCTGGCCACAGGGCTGCCTCACCACTGCAATGTTTTCACAGCCATCATAGCCATGAACTGTTCCACAGCATGTACAGTATCACAAATGAACTGTTTTGCACTGAATAAAGTTTTCTTCACTGTACCCCAAATTCGGGGTTCCTGTTGGTTTCAATTGGTGCCAGTGACCATGGGTTGACAGTTTGTAGGTAGGTAGATGCTCAAAGTTCTCCTAGACTTGTATCTCACTTGATTATCTCTAGGACAAATCAGCACCTCTCTACCTTTCAGGATGTAACATCCTGAGGTCTTTCATTAGCAGGAGCCTGAATCCTGCTAATGAGGAGGAGTTCCCAGGTGGGAACTAAGGAGCTATTGTTTCTATTAGCCAAAGTCTCCTGTGGTTCCTTAGGGAAATCCCCAGAGCCGTAGGCTGGTAACTGTGCCTCCTGTTACTGGTTTATTCAATAGGATTATTGAAGAATTCCCATTCTGCTACAAAGGAATATTCAGTTGTGAGGAGGCAACAAGGGAAGTTAAACTTGAAGATTTAGTGGGACCTTTTCAACAAAGCCAGAAATCTCTGCTAGATTATGAAGAACACTGAGAAAAAACTGAGATCCTTGGTCCCTGTGGTATTTTATAAGGTGTTCACTCTGGACACTAAGGAGATGGATGGTTTGTGGTGATGGCGATGGCACCTTTGTTCAGCATGGATGTGTGTTCCTTTCCTGTTTATTCCCAGAAATTATAAAGGCATACCTGGTGCTGTTGGGCTCCTCCAATAGTTTTTTTGTTTGTTTGTTTTCCTGAAGGTTTCAAGACACCACTAAGGATGTTTTTGCTTAGTAACTATTTTTACTACCACTTAACATCTATACTCCTAAGTCACCAGAACACACCCCAATCTTCACCCAAAAATGAAATAAAGATTTGACAAGCTGAGCCTTGTAAGAGAGGCAATGGGAAGCCCGGTTCTCAAATACAGTGTTGTACACGTGTTCCAACAGAGTGCAGATGTCCTGGTGTTTAAGACACTGTGTGTGGATAATACCTCAGGGTGCTGTCTGAGAGTACATTTATTTCTAAACCTTGTACAGCTGCTCTGTTGAAAAATTCCCCACAGGAGCCCCAGGAAGTTACCCTGCTGGTTATTACTCCATTTTTATAGGTGAAGAGCCAAAACCACCAAAAAGGGCTTATGATGACCTGACACCCAAACCTTGTGGGGGTGGGTGAGGTAGCAGGCCTGTGGCTCCTTAGGTGGACAAGCAAGTAGAGAAGAAAACATCCCCTACCATGGAAGAGGCCTCAGGGGTTCCAGGCAGCCTCTCCACAACAGAATTGGGCCATTTTTTCCAGGGTGGCCAACTTTCTGGAGAATCCTGTTATGACAGCCTGATGGTAGTGGCTGAAGCCCAGGCTGCCTCTTCCTTCAGGTACCTAAATCAGGCTTTCCTTGTGAGAAGGAGGAGTTCTGGTGGCTGGCCAGACAGTCTCCTCCCCACTGCAGGGCACCCAAAAGAGGGAAAGGGAATCATGTTATTCCACACAAGCACAGACACTGCAGAGTCTGAAACTGACAACCCACCTGCCTCCCTGAACAAGTACAATGGCTCAGAGTAGGTCCCTCATCTGGCCCTTGGAGCTCTCTGCTGTTTGCAGGCTGCCTTGTCTGCCACTGCCACGCACCAAACCCCTGACTTTTTTGTGAGACACACCGGGCAATGCGGGTGTTTGCCTTTTGACCGCCCACCCACAAAAACACTGTGTGGGTCTCAGGTACGGCTCTGGGGCCAGGCACTCTTAGGCCTGTGTCAGAACTGTGAAGGAGGCACTCAGGCCTTTCAGCACCTC